GTTACCAGACTTGGTGGGATTTGAACACAGATCCTCCTGCACCAAAGTCGAGTGACCTCACCACCAGACTAACTCCCAGCTCTCAGTTAATGTTGGAACTTACACAAGTCTGAACAATTAAGACAAATATGAAAACATCTGTTTTAGGTTTCATTTGTGAGCCTTCAAGTCTCAGTTTGATGTTGACAGATATAAAACAGCCAATGAGGAGCAGCACCATGTCTAAAGATTTAAATAGATGATGAGGTGGTTACATTTATGTAGAATTATTCAAATAATGAAGCAGAGCAACGAAATACGCATGAAGGACAAACTGTTGGATTTTTTTAAATATTTTTCTTCTAAAAGTGACCTGGTGGACAGAGCAGTTTGACAAACAGCAGACAGGAAGTCAACACCTGCTGCTTTACGTTTCATTTTCTCACCTGTTTGTAGGTCCTCTCTGCTACACTGAGCAGGAAGAACAGGAACCACATAAAGCTGAGCGAGCCATGCTGATCAACAAGTCGTCAGAGCCAGAGCCGCTCCCGGCGCTGCTGACAGGATGAGCATCAAGTAGACTTGAACACCGAGTTTCACTGTTTCATCGTTTCAGAAACAGAAATATTTGAACATGAAGAAGAATCTAACAGGAAACAGGTGCTCATTATGTGTTAACATGATGATGTCAGAGGTTTACAGGAGGGTCTGACAGGTTTTTATAACAGCTGAACAGTTCTGTGTTGCAACAAACAGACCATTCAGCAAAGTGTCATTATTGTTTGGATCACGTATTTCTGTCCTTGTTAAATATTTCCTCAATGTGTTGATGTTTGGAACAAATTAAGACAACAAATATAATCTTTGTCGACTGAGTCACTGATTTCCAGAAGTTCATATTGTTATTAAACCTTTAAAGAAAGAATTTAAAGGATTTAAATAGAACCAAATCCAGTGTTTTTGTGATAAAAGGTACAAACAAACGTGAACTTCACTGAGGGCCAGTGAACCACAGCTGTTGGCCCCTCCCCCTGTGCTCTGATTGGCTGGCGGGCCGTTGACCCATGGCTGATTTATGCCCAGCTGAAAGGTCGATGGCACTTGTGGAGCACTGACAGAACCGGTACCAGAACAGGTAGGAGAGCCAAACTGACATCATGGAGTGGATTTGATGCTGATTAAATTCAGACGTTGATGAAGTAAAATTTGATTAAATAACCAGAAAATTAACATAAAACTTTTAGCTTTAATTTTTAATCTTGTTTTTATTTTAATCTTGTTTTTATTTTAATCTTGTTTTTATTTTTGCACTGATCCAACAGGTATCTTCACTGTTATCCTCACATTTATTCTAAAATAAAACAAAAAGTTTAGAGTTTATTACAGAAAACTAACGGCTGCTGTGACATCAGAGTTTCTCAGGAATCTGTTAAATATTTCCTCAGTTGATGGTTTTACTGGCAGCGAGCTCTGAAAGCAGAAATAATCACAGGAAACTCAGAACAACCCTGATGAAGCTGCTGACAGGTCGAAGCAGATTATTTAATAAATGAGTGTAACATGTAGACAAACATTAAACTGATTTAACTCCTGAGATAAACTTTAAACTAAAAAGCTGCAGTTTGACCATCAAAGGGGAAATTAATACATACCTCTCAAAACAGAAGTTATGAAACAGTTGAAACAGCCTCTGAGGTTAGGTGTTTGATTGACAGGCAGCAGGAAGTCATTCATCACCTGTATCAGCCCAGGTGAGTCTTCCTAATTAGAAGTTAGGAAACCTAATWTTCTTTCATCCAAACTTGATTCTGTCTTGCAGACATCATGCTGTCCATCCCTGATCTGATCAAGAAGAAGAGAGACGGAGGACAGCTGAATGACGAAGACATCAAACTCTTCATCGAGGCTGTTACATCTAACACCATCCAGGAGGGTCAGACAGGTAYGACCAGGTGAAGAGAAACTACCTGAGCTCAGCAGCTGTCATCACTAGTCTGTCCTTAGGGGCCATGATGATGGCCATCTGGTGGAGAGGGATGGTCACCGATGAGATTCTTACCCTGACCAGGGAGATGATGTCATCGGGGGAGGTGATGTCATGGCCAGATGACTGGAAAAGTCTGGTAGTGGACAAACACTCCACAGGAGGGGTGGGGGACAAAGTGAGCCTGGTGTTAGCCCCGGCGCTAGCTGCCTGCGGCTGTAAGGTACATCTGGAGTCATGCTAACAACCAGAGTCATGCTAACAATCAGTCATGCTAACAATCAGTCATGCTAACAATCAGTCATGCTAACATCTAGAGCAGTGGTTCCCAAACTTTTCAGCTTTTGACCCACAAAATGCCAGCAGCAGAGACCTGTGACCCCAGCTGTTGTTGGCTGATGAACATTGGTTTCATGCCAAACAAACAAGAGCATAGTAACATTATTTATTACTCTCTTTTTGTCCATTTTAAGTATATTAAGTTTACTCATTATGGA